ACGGATTGATATCTATATATCTGATGTTAACATAAGTTATAAGAGTTCCATCATTTTTTCTTCTTATTTATGTACAGGTGCAAGTGCCCAAGCAAATTTTTAGTTTACACTTACACACACATACATACATGTGTGAATGTTATATTATATATGTTTATCTATATAGTAGACGTCAAAGACGAAATGAGCACAAAGTGTATTTGCGGTTAGAAAGAAGGACAGGGTGGCAATGCATAATGCAGTAGTAGCAAGACGTACATACATTACGTACCCGGCGGAAAATAGAAATTTCTGTCTGATGAACAAGAAGTTTCGATATTTCTTCGGCATCCATTGACACGTTCTCGTGTCCGTGGTACGAGGAAAAAAAATAAAAGACGAAAACCCGAGCAGGTGAAAACTACTACAACACATATCTTAATCACGTAATTATGTTTATGGCTGAAAATTTGGTTTTTCAGTTCAAAGAACACGCATTATACTTAAGTCGATTATCTGAACGGACTTTCTGTACGTAAATATAAATTCATTGTTAGTCCGAAAAGGAAAATAAGATGTGACGAAAGCAAACAGCCTGTAAATGTACGAGTATATAGTTTTTTTTCCTTCAACATCAATAAAAAAAAAAAAAAAAAAAAAAGAATCCATTTAAAACGTAAATAAGACGTTGTTTCATTTTCATGTACGCACAAACGACATTGTTATTTGAATATTTCTTTGAATTATTAGAGGTTCGTGACAAGTTATCTTCAATACCTATCATACCTATTGGTAAGCCCTATCAATATTTTGTAAAAGACGCGGCGGAGTTTTAAATTATTAATGTTAAATTATGGTTTTTCCGTAATTTTATTCGTAACAAATACAATCTTTAGTGACTATAACGTTAACATAATTTCGTTAATAGTTATATATTTTAAAAAAAATAAAAAAATGATTGTTCCACAATGGCTATAAATATTCCAATTGATATTAATTACAATTACGATTAACTGAACAACTGAATACAAGTGTAGTCTAACCTCCTAGTCTATCATTTATTGAAATTATTCAATATTGATTTAAAATATAATTTATTCTTAATTTTTTTATTTTTAGAACTGTGAATTTTGGGGATGCGATTCAATGGGTTTTACCTTAATTTTGTTTGAAATTGTTTTAATCGAAGTGTCTTAATCAAATTTACTAGTTGTTACCTATATTGTGTTCAATTAAATTATAAAGCCATTTGATGATTATATTAGCAATAAGAATTTTATGTGGACAAATAAACATAGTAAAGAGTATAAAATCCATAAAATTCAGTTTGTAAATCTTCTACCTCTTTAATACTTTAGCTTATATTGCATATCAGATAAGTTTTAGTCCTTAATTAGTAAATTATGTATTATGTGATGTTAGTTTAATATTATAATAAATGAAAACAAGACAAAGTATACAACTGATAGCCGATCGGCTAACTCGATATTAGGCAAAATCAACCCTTCGCTAGAGCGCTAAAATCAATAACGCACTATATTTTTTAACATGTTGTATTAAAATTCTTATGCTGTGTGTGTTTTTTTTTCTTTTCAATTATTTTAAAGACCAAAAAAAAAATTATTATATTTTAATAAAAATATATAAAACAGAATTTAATACGAAATAGTATGTAATTATGAATGTATTAGTAAATATGAAAAATTCTTATTCTAATAATACAGTAAATTATAATTTGTATGTGCGGTATGAAGTGACTTAATCTTTACGAAATCATACCAAAACATAAATCTTAAATTAATCGACTTACCTGCCCACTTCTAAGTTTAATAGTATAGTTTCTTCATCTCAATGGAGTTTGGTCAAATAGCATAATGGGATATATTACAATAGTACGGATCACTAGAGGTTACCGAAATTCAAATAATGTTACAATACCTGCACTTTGGCGGAAACAATAATTCATCTTATTTGTGTTGAGTTTACTATTCCAGCGCATACACTCGAAGAAGGATTACATTACTATTATAAAAGTAGATTCATCATTGCTATTGTTATTAAATATTTTATTATTGTTAATGTTATTATACAGAAATGACAGTGAAATTATGTTTTGTAAACTATTATTCTACATTTCAACTTTATTAATTATTTATCTATCATATATTACTTTAGGTATTTCATTTTTTGTATAAAATAAAATAGCATTCTTTAAAAAATAAAATAAAAAAAAGAGTTAACGTCTAAAATTATTATCATTGAATAATTACCAGGTTAAATAATTCAGGGTTTTTTAATTGATAGGTAAAATCAAAACTTAGGTAATGGACAAATAAGTGCAGTCAAATATCTAGTTCAAGTAAGACCTTATAATTTTGTTGTATAAAAATTATTAAAGTTTCATTAGCACTTTTAAAACGAAACGGCTGATCGATTAATGATTGAACATTTTTAGTATAATAGTATAATGTATTAAAAAATGAAATGAGTTTTTTAAAAATAATATTTGTTACAGGTGTTGTTTCTTATCAAGAGATTAAATCTTACACAACTCACGTACTCATATGAAGTAGTTTATTTGATTAATGACTATGACGAGTGTATAAAAAATCGTGAGTTAATGTGCACCTATATATATATATAAAAAAAAAGTTGTATTAAAATAAATTCAAACTGGATAAAAGCTTTATAAAATTTGTATTTATTATGTTACAACTATATACTTTCATAATAAATAACAGTTGATTATTCAATAATACAGCATAATTATAGTTTTTTTTATTCATATAAAGTTTACTTATATAGTTTAAATTATCTACATGTTCAAAATAGTAACAATCAACCCCACACAGCATATGTTACTCATTACGATTGAAACAATGTTTAAATATGATTGGAATTTAAATATTTGAAATCAAAACATTATACAACATTGAATACATATTCGATTTTTCGTATTGAACATGTTCAGAATTTATTTACATTTAAAAAAATATTTAAAAATTAATTAATATTTAAAATTATATAAATGTTTAATACTTAATTCAATATTTAAAATTTTTTTTAAATAATTATTAAATATTGAATTAATATATATGGGAACCTTTTTTTTCAGTTTACAACAAAGTAAAAAATAATAAATATCATTACAGTAAAACAGTATATATTTATTTTTTTACACTTAAATATTTGATTCAAAGACATAACTTATTATATGATAAAGCTCGTTTGAAAATCCAGACAAGTAAATTATTAAGACAAATTTCCTTTTTTTTTTTTTTTTGACAATATCTAATTACCCGCTTAAAGTTCCATGAAAACTTTCTACCTTCAAAAATGTCAATAAAAAATTAAACTCCTTCAGCATCTGAAAGCTTTAACTTATTGTGGGAAAATACAATTATCCGAATGGTTTGGAGAATTGTGAAGATCATCATTTTTCACCGTTAGCAACACTCACAACTACACAATAGCTTTTAAATAGACTAAAATTAATAAGGATTTTTGGAATTAGTAAACAAGGTTATTTCTTATAATATAAATCGGTAATATTTATAAATATTTCTAATATTTTTTCATCGAATCAAAAATCATTTACTTACAGTACATCAAGTACAATACATACAAGTTGATGTAATATCAACCGATAATACCAAAAAAAACTATTAGTTCAAAATCGAGCAATTTTTTTTTAAAATTAAATTTAATAAAATAGCAGCCAATAATTCAAAACTGATCAATAAAAACTACTCGGATCGAGGTAAGATGTGATACTGCTCACGAAACTAGGGATTTCACAGCTGAGCCTTCAAATCATTCTAACCTAACCAAGTATTTATTTTTCTACAAAGTTTGTTCTTTCAAGAACATATTATGTAAAATTTAGCTGTCATAAACACAATCGATTACACAAAACCACGTTTTACGAAGATTTCGATATTGCAAACTAACGTAAGACACCATTGATGTATTATCGTTCAACCAATTCTTTATTATGTTCAAAAAACATTTATTTAAAATAATTAAGGAGTTCTAGATATACCTTCCTGAGTTCCTATTTGTTCCGTTATAACGATTCAAAGTGCACTTATAATAACTATCTTAATATCTAAAATTCCCTAATATATTATTTCTTTTTTCTGCTCACTTTGATCGTCAATATTTTACCTCAATAATAAAATCTACTGTGTGATGTCCATCTATATAAATTAATCGTAAAAAATACGCAGCATTTAGTATACCTAATGTTTATGATTTATGTCAGAACTCAAATAAGAAATAAATAAATATGCCACCTTTTCTATGCAATGAATGAAATTCATTAACATCTATCCTATCTCCCCTCCCCTCACCAAGTTATTTGTTTAAAATATGTTCGTAAGCCAATAAATTCATAATTTTCAAACCGTTATTATGAAAAATAAATGACAGTGTTTTATTGCAATTTTCAATTATTATTGAGGTATACCTTACCTTTGTTGTGGATGTGGAAACTGGCGGAAAAGGAATGGATAATTTCGTATAAATTGTAGCCACATATAGTTCATTCACATACTCTTTTATTTTTAACTGATTGATTACAATCATTAAAATGTAACGCGAAAGTAGACGCACTACTAGTAATGCACTACATTATTTTATCTTTTAAACGCATATGCAACGTTAATTATTAAATTTTTGTACGAAACGTTTTACTTTGCTATCTCGAATGGGAATCATATGTACACATATGGGACGTTATAAAAAAAAAATATATAAACATACACATACGGCTTAAAAAATGATTTAAGTTTAAATGGAAAAAAAATACCTTGAGTGTGAAATAAACAAATAAAACGTGCAAGTCTCCCAGGAAAACAAAATTAATTGTTTATAAGGTTTTTTGTGATATTAAAAACAAAACAAAAATGTGCTATTCCTACACATCTTGAACGTTCATTTTTCTTGTGTGTTTTTGTCGGTTTACATATCGTTTTCGTTCAGCGTTTCAAGTTATAAAACTGTTTTTCGCACAAATCAATATGTACAAACCCGACTACACTTCAAATCGTCAGTGCTCGGTAAGTGTATAACAATAGCGAATACAGTGAAATGATACCAGTATCAACAGAGAACGAAATTAAATGGATTTTTAAATGGAATATGAAAAAAAAAATCTGTCATCAACGGCATTTAATAAAATGCAAAAAAAAAAATTTAAAAATTTCTCAGACAACTATAAATAAATGTCGCTTTTTTCATGTCATGGCCCTCGACCTACTCGTTATTGAAGTCCATCTTACACCTAAAACATGCAATTTTGTAATATCCATTGATTGCATACTTATAATAGTATTACTATGTATTATAATATACATATTATGACATACTGGTACCTACAAATAATTCATACGATGTTTCTATATAAATTTAATGATTTATAAAAATTGAACTCGTCCGCATCATATTCTTAGAGGCTGTACTAATTTATTCATTGATTTAATAATGAAAATATGATAATATCGTTAATTTACGGCACCGGATGAATTATCGTGAACCGTCCACATCAACATTGTTCAGCGGGACCCATTATCTTTCTGTAAAGATTTATTTTAATAATATTTATAATAAAATATATAACTAAATATAACACGTATTTAAAATATAGGAATTAAATTCATTTGCTAAACATCACACTATAGCTTAGAAGAAACAATTGTAGATAAGTCCCTTCAGTTGATTTTCGGTTTTAAAATTTCGGAAATTTTATACAAATCTAGTCGTTGACTGTGGTCTGTAAACAGTTATGTAGTACATCTAGACTAATATAGTAACTCGCGAACCGTGTTTTCACAAATAAACATGGATAGTTCCTTGTATACGTAGATTTATTTTTTTCGCCCATGTACATAAAAAAAACAAATAATAATCCTTATATCATATAATATCTAACTGGCCGCAATCTTTAATACATTAGAATATGTCTTCCAAACTGTAGTATAACAAATCAACTTAACCGTGTATATAGACCGGTGATGTATCGGTTTCCGCGATGATGTGGATAGATCATTTTGAATAATCACTATACGGCAGTCACCATCGGTAGAACCCGGAATATAAGTTTTGCATACTCTGCACTTAACAGATATGGAATGAATATCGATCGTGGTTATGTGTACTTATTCCCTAACAAACACTATTCTATAAACTCTACATCCGATTAGTCAAATGCACATACCAACTTACACGGATAACAATGTTTGGTTTATAGTAATAATCATCTCTCTAATACTATATGATTATTATTATTATTTACATTAGTAACAAGATTAGTTTTAAACCCAGATTTTCACCATCGAGTTTTAATTCGATTAAATGAGATAAATAATTTTGTTCGAATAAAAGTGTTTAAAATATTCTAAATTCAGAATGTGGGCAGTTTTATTTTGCAAAGAATATCGTTAACATTTCAATCATTCTAAAACTTTCAGTAATTTTCAATATATTAAATATTATTCGTGTCTCAGTAATGATTTTGCGTTGTTTATCAAACCTAAAAATAATTATTATACTCTGAATGTAAAATACCTACAATTTTATTATTTTTTTTTTAAATTTATACTATAATCATAACAGTAGAGATCGGTTGAATATTATTGCTAAACTTAAGTAAAGCGTAGAATACATCATGGTCCTATCATAATTTTATTTATTTATTATTATTATTATTATTTTTTTTTTTTTTGTGCCAATCTTCATGGTTTTGATCAGAAAGATCGCTTCAAATCGAATACTTATATTATCATTGAAATCATACTTAATATATAAAAATAATTTTAAAAATGATCATTAAATCAAAGTACAAAAATATGACTAAAATTTATTTTTGTAAAGGAATTGACTTCACCACTACAATTATGAAATTTAAGGTACTTGTACTCATATAGTAATGTATAAACTACCTTAAGAATTTGTATCTTCATTTAGGAATCCACCACTCCTCATTTACACTAAATTATTCTTCAAAACTAATAGTGTATTTATTTCAAGTGTAAATGAACAATTATTATTAAAAATACGCAGCATTTAGTATACCTAATGTTTATGATTTATGTCAGAGCTCAAATAAGAAAGAAATAAATATGCCACCTTTTCTATGCAATGAATGAAATTCATTAACATCTATCCTATACCCCCTATATATATATATATATATATATATCCTATCTATTAATTTATATTCACCCATTTCTGTATCTCACCCAATTTTTTTTTATCACATCCATCCCTATATCTCAGCTTATTAAATATGGTTTTCGTATAAAAATAACTCAAATCTCATTTATATTAAAATATTTAACAAATATTTATGAAATGTTTTTAAACATTATTATTTTCATGGTTTCAATTATTTATCATTTATGAATAAATTTGATTCACATAAAAAAATTAATGCAGCTAAAATATTTTACAGTTTTTAGTAGTTTCAAACAGAACACGTTCACCAACAAAAACTTAAAAAACTGTTAAAATCAATTTTGTTTTCGTAAATAAACAGTTTACTTTAGTTTCCGATCAATTATTTTTAGACACATTAATATAATAATAAAATAGTTAAAACTATATTTAAATGAGTAAACATAAGTAAATTTATATAAAACGATTTTAAATTAATTTGATGTTTCAATTTACTAAGGATAAGATTTTAAAAAGTTTCTTCACTGATGTAAATGTTTATTTTAGTTACAACAAAATTTTAAGTTTTTTGGTACAAACTTGTTCAAAACATAATAAATCTAAGTTGATGAATTTATAATATAAACAGCATTGATGACTTTATGCGTTATGTAAGTATATACAATATAATTTAACAGTATAAAGTTATGCAATTGGTTGTTTAAAAAGTAGGAATAAATTTACATACAGGATGTAAAATATTTAAAGCTATTATTCATTTTTTTTTTCTTATGATAATTATATGTTAATATTTATTTTTTGCTTCGATCTATTTCTAGTAAAATACTAAATAAGTGTTTAATATTTACTCTTTCCTTAATTTATTATTGTTACTACAAATTAATTGCTAAATTGATGAGTTTATATTTTACTGATAAATAATATCTTACATATAAATTATATACTCGTAATATAATTTTATTAACTATCGAACATATGAACCCGTATTATGTACTAAATAAAATTATGGTGTCATTTGAAAAATAATTTGTATAGTTATAATCATTATTCATCAATACAATAAATATATTGAAGAAAAGTTACGAACAATAAAACACATAAATATTACAACTATAGCTAGATATATATTTTTATAATTTAGTGTATTCAATTATTAAATTTTATAATTCTTATTCATATTATAAAATGTAACTAACTTATATTAAGAATGATGTAATATTTAACTTATCATTAATATGATGATGTTTTATTTTGCATATAAAGTATGATGTATTACATATGTTTGATTAAAATATATAAGATTAGAACAAATTAATTTGTTTCATTAAAACAATATGGTAAAACTCATTTTTTTTTAACAGCTCTTCCATTCGCATATTGAAATGTATTATATTTATAAATTTCAATCTATTTGAAAATAATGATGAAAAGCCAATGTTTTCCTTATATAACACTGCATATTTTGATATAATCATAAATTATTCATTTAACTATGAATACATATATAAACTATGAATCATTTGGCCATTCGTATATTAGTTTAGAATAGTTATCTAATATCTCAGTAGTTTTTTTTTTAAACAAGAAACATTAAATCAAAGTAGTAGTATTTTTTCCCCATTATACGAGTAAATTATCAATGATATATTTTACAACATTATGATAAATGTGCAAGAAAATTATTTCTTCTATCAATATGAAATGTTAGATTAGGTATTTTAATTGTATAAAATAAAAATCATTCATTTCAAAATATAATTTAAGTTATATATTAATTAAATTATTATTATTAAAGTCAAATTGTGTTTATAAAATCTTTTAAACTATTGTCAAAAGTTATATTTTTAGTTTCATAATTCTCGTACAGTTGTTTCATAATGATTTGACAGTTATTAACATCTGTCTTTTTTACTCCTTATGCATCTAACCATTTTGTCATTGACAAAAAGTTGAATTCTAAAACAAAAAATTAGTATAAGTAGACAGTAATTAAAAAACTGATGCAAATTTATTTCATTTTAAATATTACAATTTTAAAATATATTTTAATATAAATACAATTAACTTCAAAATATTATATATAGATGTAATTATAATAAAAATGTATCACTTATTAATTAATTTCTGATTATATTTTTATTCAAACATTTTAATTACTGATCATTTCTTTCACGAGCAACTTTTCTCATGAATTTTAATGATTTTAATCAATGACATAACAACTGTGACCGCTTAAACTTATTGAACTCATTATAATATGAATATTTTGTACACAAATTATTACAATCGTTGCCCAGCAAACATTTAATGGTATAATAATATTATATAAATAAATACGTACAAACTTTATTTACGGAGTAGGTACCAAGAGCTGAGCCGCTATATAATTTTAGGGCATTAATTATAGAGATCGGTCGCCCCAACGGTCGTCGACAGCTTAATCTGCACGAGACTCTGTTTTATATTAAATTTCTCCAATCATAATACTACATTATTCCATTATTCTATCCAAGACCATGATGGATAAAATTCAAAATTACGTGCCCAACCATAAACACATAATTTAAATACATTGGTATCCATTAAGGGGGAGGGATAAGGACGGGAAAGTTACTTCCTATTTCTGGAAAAATAATTAACTATAATAATAACAACGAACTTTCAATTCAATAAATATCATTATTATAATTATTAATATATAAAAATATGAAATTAGTAAATTCATATATAATTTTTTTGCAAAACAGGCAAATATTTTGAATAGTACCACATCATAAATTATTAAGGCTTTTTAAGTTTTAAGTTTAGTCTTTATATTAATTTGGTGAATAACCCGAAATTTACCCGAGTGGTGCACAAAACTACCATTTAGACGAACAATTAACAGATTATTTAGGCAAAATTATAAATTATAAATCGTTAATAAAATAACAAAAACTAAAAATTATTAAATACTAGTAAATTAATACATAAATAAATGAATAAATAGCTTATACATAGAAAAAAAAAATTTATAATTAGCCTAGAGTATTATTATATTTGTAAAATATGATATATATATTAGCATTATGTATATAATTATATATATAATTATGCATTATTAAGTATATATTAGCACATTATGTTGAATGGTATCAATCAACAATGTCGAAGCAATATGTAAGTGTCAAGCCCGATTTACACTAGTACAATACGACACAACAGACGAAAATCACGTCCAATTCTCGCACGAGATTAAAAATTTTAAACTTTGAAGATTTAACCGTGAAGGCATTATTGCTCGATAATAATATATGTATACATAATATATTTTATTTTGTGATATACAATATAATATTAAAACTGTATCTATGTATTGTGTCTATAATAATTAGGCTTGTAATCAGTGAAATCATTTTCGTATATAAATTTATTTAAGCTAAAGCTGATGTTATCAAAGAACTTTATCAACTACAATAACTGCAAAACATCAATCTTACCTAGTAGTGTTTTGCTAAGTGCATTTATTTAGTTTTGAATTTTATTAATTTTAGTTTATTATTAATTCATCATGAATGAGAATGATAAAAAATTTATTTTAACGGAATGTATTGTAAACGTAATTTATTGTGGGATCCAAGTAGTTCACGATACAAAAATAAAAATTAAAGCAAAAGACATGATGGACTTATGAAAATGATGGTTATTTTTTTATTGAAAAACTTAATATAGAAAAAAAAAAAATAGAAAATTTGCGTTTAGACGAGATCAGTCCAGTGGCGTATCTGTGAAACATTTTGAGGGGGGCATAAATTAATTGCACGATTTTTTATGGTTATAATATAATCAGAAACTTTATTATAAATTATTACTAAATACTTAAAACTCATGTTGATCACTTGATATTAATGATAACCACATTATAAAATAGTGACTATACATGACCATCACTCCTAATCCCAATTCAATCAAATATTGATATTTTATATTACATTGATAAGTGATATCAAACACGATTATTATCAGTGAAAATTAAAGATATTTATAATTTACATTATTTAAGCTGAATAATTAATTTACATTATGGCATCAAAAAACTTCTTGGGAGGGGGGGCAAATGCTTTTGTTGCCCCCCCCCCACACACACACACAGGTACGCTACTGGATCAGTTCACACGAAAATATCAATCTATTTGATCGCGTTCGCATCGCGTCGCAACGCGTTCGGCCACGTAAGCCACTTCCGGCGGCGGCAAATGTTCGATATTTTTGCGTCACTTCGCGTCGACCGTGTTCGCGTTGAGTTCGCTCACGTAGAACGCCGCATTATTGTCTCATTATCCGCGAAACTTTGTTGGGACTTCAGAATAACGAAATAACGAATTTTTAACCTCCGTGAATAACGACGAATTACAGTAATATATTATATGTACTAAATATACCTGCCCGTTTCTTAGAGCAAAGTATATATTTGAAAATATGTAATTAAACAACTTATTAACTGTTACAATACGAGTAAAAAAGACCAATTATTGTTTTGTGATTGAAAAATCAATCTTGTGCTTTTGTTTCCATCATAAACATAAAAATCGCCCGAAGATATTTGCTGTTACGATAGAAAATTGAATAAATCTTTTGATTTGTTTTATTTATAATATGCATTTTTGTCCCGTAAATACGGTCTAATACTGTATATAGGTTGTACGGAGTTCCTCAACGAATGTTGAACAATATAATAACGGATTCGCTGGCTAATGATTCAATCGTAGGTCAATTTTCGCAATAAGCGGTATGGATTCGTTTAGATTAGGATTGATCAGGTTAGATTGATAGTTTCATAAGTGATAATGAACCGTATTCGGTATTCGAAACCGAAATCGGAGAACATTTATTTCGGTTTCAAGTCCTGACGTCAATAAACGCTACACGCTTTGACCGTTGACTTTCGCGGTTCCCAATCATTTTCACTATACTGCTGTTTCATTACCACGGTCTGTTACCGCAACTAGCCTCAGTAATAATATAGCGCTACATCGGTTCTTATATCCAGTGGCGTAGCTATCGTAGGGCAGAGTGAGGCAAGACCCCAAATCCCCGGAGCACAGAGGGCCTTAGAATACTTGGACAACTCTGAGACTATACTTTCTTAAAGTAACTGAACTTTTTGATAAATTTAATTCCTAAATTATACTTGATGATTGTACTTACGATCAAAATAATAATCATTCAACGCAATATGCAATACGTTTTTGTAGTATTAAATTAAATTTTCTTTTTACTTTGAATAATTATTAATTAATTGTTTTCGTTTATCATTTCATAGTAAGTACTCACGTTTGAAAGAACAATATGACATGTGCATTTTGAATTTTCGTGTAAAGATAATATTAAACAAATCTATTTTCTGCACCGGAGCCATTTCCCATCTAGCTACGCCACTGACAATACTGTGCCGCGCCTGACATGTACGTCGCTCGTCCCGTAGGATCCGTGCGTGTGTTCGTCGTTGGGAACTCCGCGGCGGCCGCCGGTCCGCCAGCCAGTGGACGGTCGCGAAGAACGGGACGAACGCCCGTGGCCACGGCCGTTGTCGTTGTACGGGCTGGCCGAGAATGTACACTGGTCGCGGCGCCTGCGCATGGACATTCGCTGTGAGAACCCACTGGCTGCAACGTGGTACCGACCGCACGACCCGTCACCGGACCACTACTGCCGCGAGGATGCAGACGCGGAGTGGCTGGAACGGAAACCGGTGTCGTTCATGGTGTTCGGAAGACCGGGCGTGGACGATCATCGGTTGGCCATCGCTCTGTCCGCATACTGGGGATGCGTCCACGTGTCTGTGGCCAACGGACTGGCCGCCGGCCGCGCGGACGCCCGGACGATGGCGGCGTTGCGTCGCGGCCAGGCTGTCAACGCCGCGGCGACAGCGGCCCAGCTGACCGCGGTGCTGGGCATCGACACCCCCCATGTACGCGAAAGGGGTTACGTGCTGACCGGATTGCCTAGGTACCGTGATTACCACGCAGTTCTTCCGCTGTCCTCAGAGTCATACAACATCGATATGACCTTAGTTTTATTTTATTCAATGTGGGGTGTATCTAACGTACAGTATAGCATATGTATACCAATTTTTTTTTAGGATTAAAAGTTTGAACCCATATCATGAAATTTAAAGAAAAGTATACATATTAACTTTTTATATAAAATTCCGACTAAATTACAAGGAGTTCCGTATCACATTTATTTTCTATTTTCTAGATGATTGTACTCTAAATCGAACATAAATGTTATGGTTTTTATTTACTTTTGCCATTTAAGGTCGATTCGCACTATACGGAATGCCGACGTCACGTCACAGACCGGCAACGTCACGTCAAAATATCTTTCTATGTATTTATACCTCAATGTTCACATATACAGGCAACATTACGCAACGTCAACGTCACGGAACGGCAACATTTATCAAAAATTATATTTTGACGTGACACAACTGGTCCGTTCGGATAGTATGAATGTCAACACGGAACGTTTCCGTCAACAATAAACTATATTTTAGATGTGTAATTGAAATGGAATTACATTAATTATTAGATTAATTAAATAAAATATTAAAATTTAAATAGTTATGGTATATGATGTTGATTGAGGAAGTACGCCAATATCAAGAACTATGATATGATGCACAAAAAATATAGTGACAACATTCACAAAGATGTTTAGAGAAAAATTTATAATTTTTTTTCTTCGTCGTCTAAAACTAAGGCAATCATCGCTAGTTATTTTTTACTGAACTTAGGCATAACACAAATTCGAATATTTAAAAAACAAAAAAAAATGAATTTTAAACACAAAATGAACTAGGCTTAGTCTAACCTAATAGAATTGACTAAACAGACTGATGGCGTTTCTGTGACATTACGTCGACATTCTGTATAGTGCGAATCGATCTTTACTCTGCACGTTGGACAGAAAAAAAACAACCAATCATTAGCGGAATTTCCTACTCTTAAACCTATAAAATACGAGTACTTGGACACCATACATAGATAATGAGTAAAATATTTCTCCTCATATTCTGGTAACCCTCGTGTTACGTCATAATATCATGTATAGTTGCAATCATCATAATATTGTGCTGTTAGTCGTATGATATTCGTTTTGCAAAACAGGTATAATCCTGAAATGAGTGCATTCACGCAAATGAACACAGTGTTCACTACGAACGCACCGGACGTGTTGATCTACATAAGCAGCCCGGAACACGATCCGTGTAATTATCACAGTGGACTCGTGCTGGAATCCATTGGATACGATTATTCGACGGGAACGCTTCACGCCGACGAGGAAAGAATGCAGGGCGATCATAGCTACAGCAGTATACGTCTTCGACACAAGTTGCCGATCAACAATAAAGTCATAGTTGATCTCGACCGAAACGATTACATTACAAGTTCGTTAGAAGTGGTGGACGAAATCGTCAAACAATTCGACGCCGCGTTTGTGATAACCATCGACGGCAGGAAGCCGACGGAGGAATTGTTCGAAACGATTAAAGACAGATTAATGACGATGCCGCTGCAACGTACGGTGTTGCCGGAAATCGTTAAAAAACAAGATGATACCGCATCCGGTGATATATCGGAAAACAACGTGCACGGATTCGAGACGAACGGGATCGAAGACGTCGAATCGGAATCGTTCGAAATGGAAACAATGGAAAGCGAGGCGATTGACCTAGACGAGCACCTGGAAAGAAACAATGACGGACTGACCGTCGATGAACGTAATGAGCAAATACGGTCGATGTCGGAGTTCAACAAACTGTGCCCGGTAAACTTTTCCTACGGTGTGTTCAAATTAGGCGTCGTACATTATTGTATAAAGTTCATGGATAAGTTGTACTTTTTCGCCGGGCCCGAAGAATTGCAATTATTTGAAAAGTCTCCAAAGCAATATCTGGAGATCCCAAGACCCAGCGTGCCCGTAAGAGCTATATTTTACGGTCCTGAAGCGCTGTCGTGTCCGGCCGCAAATGCTGTTAGTCATTTGTTCGGTTACAATCTGATAGACGTCAAGAATATCGAATATGCACACGTAAAAATCCAAAAACTTTCGTTAATACTTGCGATCGTCAAATCCGTCTTGAAAACCACACAAGAAATCGTAAAAAACAAAACAGATCCATCTACCGAGATTAACTCCATGAGAAACGCTATTGGCGAATGGATATGGTTACACTTCGAGAATTATAAAAGATTTGATTTACACGACGACGGAAAGGACGCCGAGAATGAACACAACATATTTAAAAAAGATTTTCCAAATCCAAGTAAATATAATAATTATATATTAATATAGTATTTATAGCATTGACGACTTAGTTCTATTCGTAAAAACACAATGATATAATATAATATAATAATATATGATTTTATAACACATAATTAAGTGTACGATAAAATTATTTATAATATAAAGGTATTAGATTAAAATCCGACCGAATTAATAATATATGTTTAAAAGTATCCTATAAATATAATCTGTAGATATAATTTATTTTAAAAATACTGAGAAAGCCCAAACATCATTTAAATAAAATATGTAATCATTCGCTTAAATCACTAAGAAAAATATTTAAAACGAAATAGCGAAAACGATAGTGTTATTTAATGTTCACTTAATTCTAGTGAGTAACAATACTTACATTACAATTGAATTATGTTTTAAATGATTAATAAAATATTTATGTAGATTTGATTGAAAACTAATACCCATTTCAAACGCCTAATCGTATACAATCGTTCTCTCCATTATTGCTACCTCCTCATAACACAACACGTTAATCTTAATAACAAACTTTTCTTACATAAAAAAAAAAAAAATAAATAAATAAATATGGGCCTATAGATTCTAATTATGCATAGTTTTCGAACCTTCAAATATTTATTAAATTAAAATGTTTCAATCTAAATGTCTCGGCCAAATTTACAAATCCCTATTTTATATTTTAAATGAAACACTCCACGATAATCTCTCCGTCAGTATAGTACAAAACGTAGTAAAATCATATTATAAACGCCTTAATTATAACATAGAAAACTATCGAAATCCCCAGATATCCGAACAATCCAATACTATTATTCCAGATAATCTCAGAAGGTGCCTAAAACGAACGCGGTGTCCTGACCATCTGGACTAATAAATTATAATTAATCACTGCATAAAGTGTCATTAATGGTGGCTATTTAATCCCAGTATTTCCACGTCACTATATCACTCTTCATGCATGCTTATTATAAAAAAAAAAAAATGTCTACAAATTGTATCAGTAAAAAAAAAAAATTAAAAAAAAAAAACTTGATTGACAAGTTCAATTACTTCTAGTCGGTATTATGTTAATTATAGTCAATACAGGTTGTTCATAATTAATTATCTATACTATAAAAACATTATAAAACGTTTAATTTATATTATGGAATATTCCAGGTCCACAGCTCAATGAATTTGATAAAGAACAAAAGTTGATAAATCTTAAAAACTATTTTAAATCGTATGGAATTGATTTCGTGAATGATATAGATGCATGTATTCGTGCGTATAATAAACCGCAGACGTTAAACAATTATTTCCGAAATAATGAATCATCAAAAATTAAAAGCATATTCCGATTAAATTTTTCAAACAAAATAAAAACGGAACGTAAGTTGGCAGACATCGTTGTCGACAAAGTACGAATGTTTAACAAACGGAACAAAAATTGGATTATTGTAAGAGCACCAATAAACTTTATATTAGTGAAAAAATTGATCGCCGAAAACCTTAATCCTATACAGATGGTATTTTTTTATGACACTGATCCGGTGCATAAGGTATTGTTATATGACGAAGTAACTATTAATGATAGAAGTCAATTAGCATTTGAAATTTCTGATTATATAAAATACGAAATGAGGTATGGAAAAACTGTCGAAAGAGTAAAGTATCCCGAATTTGTCAAAAATATAGAAAATATATCAAAAAGTTATGAGGAGGAACACGGGGAGGAATATGAAGAGGAATACTACGATGAATATAATGCTTTGGATGGTAAAGTTGAAGTTGAAAATTTCGATGAAGATATTGATGATTACGACCACGACAAATTGATGCAAATGATCATGCCGGAAATAATAGAACGATTGAATCAGTACACCGATGATCTTCTTGGACAATGGAACTCATTAAAACAAGAGATTTCTAAAGAAGTACCCACCCTGTACATGGATTTTAATGTAATAAAATGCAAACCCGACTTTACAACAAATATGTTAAAAAATTCGATTACAAATTCGATATATTATATAAAAAAGTAACATAGACATAATTTATTTTTATTGGCATTATATAAAAAAAAAAAAAAATGTTTTCAGATTTTTATCAGATAATGTATACGACGTTTCAACAACAGATAATCATAACACGATACCTACTATAGGAAAATACAATGGTGACACTTCAATTTATTGCCCAGTTAGATACGTAAACGGTCGATTTTCAATCGGATCTAAAAAGCATATGGCAGTTTATCGAAATAGATATTATTACATGAGCTCTTCTGATAATTTCAAAGAGTTTGTTACCAATCCAAATAAATACGTGCTGTTAACCAGGAGTTGGAACCCGTACCCTAAACCTAAAGTATCAATACTATTGCCGTTCGGTTTCGAAGCAGAAGATTTAATTAAAGACATCGTGGATACATTCGATTTAACTTTCATGGACTCATATGACATTTTCAAAAAAAACATTTTACCAAAAAATATGCCGATGGTAGGCAGAATGTACGAAGAACCAGCGTCCAAAAAAATCATGGACAAATATTTCATACCAGAGGATCAAAATGAAAATTACATCAACCATTTAAGAAAGTACGTCGACAACGGTAATGTTAACTTAAATGATGCCGATTGGGTGAAAATGAATTCGTATTTCTATAAGGTCAACGAGGGAATATGTTATAAAAACTATCCAAACCGTTTGACGGAACTGAGATATTTAAAAGAAAATGAAATAAATCCTGATGTCATCATTGAAATAGTCGGTGGGAAATCGGAGGAACAGAATCATGCGACGGAAGCAGTCGTTGAAAATTGGTTGATTCACCAGTACACGTTGATCGACATGGTCATCGAAAGAGATGGTAACGCCAGAAGGGATTACATTGAAAGGAGAATGGCATTGTTCAAGAATAAAGTCGTGGCGACAAAGCAAAAAAATAAAAAGGAAAAGAACAAAACGATTTCTACGGAAACAGTAGACGCACTCGGTAGTTCGTGTACGTCCACGATAAGCTCGCGTCGATCGAATCATTCTATTCATTTCTCCGAACTGACTTTAAAGCAGAAAAAAATCATCGTCCACTTCGGGTTGGACAAGGAGGATTTAGACGGTTTGGACGATTTCGCGACGTTGGAGCAAATCGATGCGTCGGTGGACGAAGAATGTCCGAAACCGGAACCGCTGATATCGCAATGTTTTCCCATCGGCGTTACGGTACCGTCGGACACCGCGATAGAAAGACATCTGAACGCGGAGAAAGCCATGCGGGCAGGTATGCGAACGTTCGCCGAGTCGTCCGGCATCCCGTGGAAAATCGTCTCGTCGACGGATCGGGACGCATCGTCCCGATCAACCGTGCTAGACGACATCAGAAGAGTTCTGGTAAACGATGTGAACAACGATGACGGTATTTTCGAAACAACGTATGACGTGAACCCGATGGCCGCGGAGGACATGCTGCGCACCGGTCAAATCTATCTGAGCAGGTTTGGCCGCTGGTGTCCGGTCCAGGTTTACGAGAACGCGGACACGGTGCAACACTTTTACCTGGACCGCGCGAACAACCGCATCTTCCCGGTGGTGCATCGGAACTACGTGTACTTCATGAGCGGTGCCGAGAACCGGGACAAGTTCACGCACCGACCGTTACGGTACGCACCGCGGCACGCGATCGCGCGGCCACTCGGTTCACCGCATGTGCCACTAAGGATCGCGGTGGTCGGCGCGCCTATGAGCGGCAAATCGCACTGCGCCCGAGAACTGTGCGCCCGGCACGGATTCCAGCTGATCCGGATCGAGGAGTTGGTCGACAGGTGGCTAACCATATCCGGTGGGGTATCGGACGATTCGCGGGCACTAAGCCGGGGTGACGCACTTTCTGACACCACGCTTATGGACATCGTGTTGTCTGGCGCGCGGACCACGCGCGCCACGGTCCAGGGCTTCGTGGTCGACGGGTTTCCGACCACCGAGAGGCAGTTCGAACTGCTCGACGACTCGGGCGTGATACTGCACCGAGTCTTCGTGATGGATGGTACCTACGACCGGTGCGCGGCCAACAACTCTCGGTACGCGGGCAACGATTTGCGGTGCGTGCCAGACGCGTTGCTACGTTACAGGCACCAGATGTGGTCGGCCGCGTTCGTTGGCGAGCCGTGGATATCGGCGTGCTACGGGAACGCGGTGGCAGACGTGCGCGACTGCGACCACATGGACCGGTCATTGCGCACGTTCATCGAATCGGTGCACGAGTACCGCCGGGACGCAGGCCGACGGCCGTGCCGGTTGACCGACATACCGGTCACCGGGCTAGAGTGCGAATACAAGATGAGCGCGTACCGGTACACGTGCCCGGTGTGTCGGGTGGACGGGGACTGCTACACCGCGGCCCGGGACCACGAGGACAGGAAACGCAACCTGGTGCAGTACCGATCGTCCTTCTACTGGACGTGCGCCGAACACGTGGACGCGTTCGCGGATCACGCGGACCGGTACGCGGACGCGGCAGCGACGGCCGTCCGCGTCTCCGAACCGCTGGCCGTCTCCACGTCGGTCCATCAACTGTCGTGCGACCCGTCGGCCGGCTTCGAGCGTTACGAGTTCTGTACGGTGTGCGCGCTCCGCACTGACGGCTCGTGGAACACGGCCTACAACCGCGGCGACGGTTCGTTCGTGGCAGTCTACTCGGGCCGCGTATTCGATTTGTGCTCGTCCCGGTGCCGGGACGACTTCATGCGACGGCCGTTCTTGTACAACACGTACGCTGTACGCGCCGAGGGACCGGATGAAGTGCGGCGGTTGGCGTGCTCGCGTTACGCGCGCCTGGACGTCGGAAACATGCCGGTCCCAGGGTACTTGGAACAGACCGTGCAACCGCTCATCCGTCCCATTCTCGCTCAGCTGACGGCCGTCCGACCCATGTATCCGGGTTTATCGCCCGAGCAGTCGGCCAAGGTTTTCATAGGGTTGTACTTCGGCGCCGCCACTGCTGCAGACGACGAGATCGCTGAATACTACCGGATCGCTTACGGTCGGTTCGTCGACACTTGTCAGCGGTTCAAAACCGATATATTCAAACTGAAATCGCTAATATGAACGTTTATAAGCTCCGATCTAACCGAAAGTGTTATGTGTTTTACCGTAACGTTGTATCATCAAGGCTTATAACTTTATCATCAAATAATCTTAACAAGCTCTGTTGATCGATTCGTAACAGTAAAATTACATCGGTACATATTAATGTTTGATTGCAATTTAAATCGTCGTTATTGATTCGTGTCACGAAAATAAGTACACCTTAATCAGACTTCATGACCGTATCAACTGTTGAAACGTAAGACATGACAAGTACATAACGTTCTGATCTAATTACATCCTCTTTCCTACCATGCTTGATTCCCAAACACTCGTAATGCATAAATTTGGCATTCGCGTTTGATACTCTGTAATGTCACAACATAATTAGCTAAGTACGCTCACTTGGAATCGAATCCGTTTTCTCCGTCCTATGACGTTCTAACTCCAGAAATATTAATTTATCAAACGATTACCATTCACAAATTACACTGAGACACATTTGGCTAAAGAAGGCATTTACAATATTCAATCCTGTGTACAGAAATTACAATCTAAAGTACTTAGCGCCGTTTCAATTAAGCTTAATTTTACGTCTTTAACAAAACTCTCCATTCCGCTCTGAAAATAACTGGGCTCACAGAATTACTTAAACTTTACTGCGATTATTTCAATAACTGACTAACTCATCATTGAATTATGCTCATCACTTCACTGTAAACTGTTACAATTCTAAACGATCCCTGAAGGACATTAAAATGACAGAATTCTATTTTTCTAATCATGAAAACAAGCTGAATAATTATATTATTTAAGAACTTAGCATTACTACTACTTTATGACGAAGTATATATTCATTAATAAGAAAACCTCTGCTCTGTTTTCATGTAATTATTTTATTTTACCTTATCATCAGTTATTAAGCCTGTTGTTTGGTTTCGTAAAAGAAATGGTACAACATATAAAAATTATGTTAAAAAAATAACTCGGAAAGGATAGTGTAATTTTATTGTATTCGATTTGAATGCAATGCAATCATTCGATAAAAAACGATTCTAAGCGGATATGGGAATCTTTTTTTATTTAATTTTATTCGTTTCTATGGTGATAAATAAAGCGTTTTAAGAACAGATTGAGAACGATTTATAAATCGTTTATATAATTTATATAATAATAATTAGGAAATATCATAAAAATGAAAAAAAATATAAAATAAAAAAAAAAAGCTCAAGTCGCTCAAATGTTTTGAAAATTTTACCATGTCTAGGTAAGGATAATATAAGTAAACAATCTAAATTTCAAGTTTTTATTAATGTTTTTAACCAAATTACAACAAAAAACTCCCAACATTCAAATGTCTATAAATAGCTAAAAAATGGCTACAATTTTCAGAACTTTAAACCGAAAGAAACAAAATCCAAAATAAAACAAAAAAGATCACTTGTTATTTTTCATTTGGGGCAATACTTCTGGTAGAAAACATCGTCCGCTTTTATTTCGATTACCGTTTCAATAAAAATCGAAAAATGACCTCTTTAAAGAACCAGCTCAAGAACATTACCTTTCAGAAAAGATACTACACATGATACTTTTGAGCAAGTTTAGAGAGAGAAAAAGTATTTACAGAATAAAAAAAAAAAGAAAAATAAATAAACATCATTGTAAAACCAATGCATTCCTCGCTCCACTTAGAATCTAAAAAACAATTTTAAATTACAATAAATGTACATTTAATAATGTTTAAACTATAATGAAAAATCTAATACTAATTTTCTTCAGTTCTGTTGTAGAATAAGAAACAAAATTCTTAAGCTAAAACCAAATAATAAATATAAATTACCTATAAGTTGATCAGAAAATTTCATAATAATTCACAGCAATAGACATAAAAAAAAGTTACAGGTTACTGGAGTTGGATGGATTATAAAGCACAGTAACTGGTAACCACTCGCATTATCTGCAGTGGTTTTATTCCAGGAATATGAAAATATGGGATAGTATTAATGAAAGGGCACTCAAAGAGTCACTGATAATACATTTTTGAGAAAATTTTTCGAAAGGGCAAAAGATTAGTGGATGGTGAGTTGTGAAAAATATTATTGGTGTTATAGCCAGGCAGATTTTTAAATTTAGTTACATATCTTGGGACAGGGGTCTTTAACCTTTTTATGCAGCGGGCCGTATTCCTAGTAAAAACATATATTATATATAAACATTCAGTTTTATTCTTACAATTTTTAAAAATACAAATTAGTAAATTTAATAATTTAAAAAAATAGCTATTGGACCATTTTTCTTAAAAAACGCGACTTTCATCCGAGATTTTATGTTTTTTACTCACCGACATATTGTACAAATATTACGAAGAAAAAGTATGAAATTGAAACTTTTACACACAAACGAGAATATTGTGCTCGTTCCACAATCAATTACGAACCAACAGACAATAATAATTATATCTTGGTAGGTAATTCAATTTATCTTATCTAATATTTCCGATAGCGATAGCTTAACTGTTATAATTTTATTGAACTCGAAAATGTACATGCTAAATTTAAAATGTGATCGCGGGCCGCATATTATGACAGAGCGGGCCGTGGGTTGAAGACCTCTGTCTTAGGATATGGTTATGACATCTGAGGTGAAGGGGAGCTTCTCCTGCATAGAATATTTTATACATGTTTTCTCGATAATTATTCTTAGTTTCAGTTCCAATTTAAAAACCTTGTTCAATATCTCATTTAAAATTCTATTCATATTAACGTTATAATAGAATTAAAGCTATGACTATGAATTACTCCTTCAGTAAAAAATTCGACATACTCATAACAAAATAAATAAAATACAAATTAAAATATGTAATTATAGTAAACATTTTACTATGTCTTAATATTCACAACTATTGAAATTGATAATCTCATTAACTATAGTTTGGTCCGCAAAGAATAGAATCTTTAACATATAGAATTACCATGATCGTTTTTTATTCATTAATTGTTACCAATTCATACTCGCCGATTGTAATATTTATGGCGCATTAAATCATAAGTCTAAGTCCTTAAAGAATCAATGAAATGTTGAAAGGTTTAAAGTTACTTTTTAGATTGAAGCACGTAATTTTTTTTTCTTTAGATCTTTTATGAGTATTTTTATATGATAGGTGAAAACACGAACTTATGAACAGCGTATATTACGATTCCAATGAACTTCCATGTCCTTACGTGATGAGAATTATTAAAAATAAATTAAGAAAGTCTTTATTCACGTTGGTGAAAATAAGTTTATTTTTTTTATTCACTTGATTTAAAGCTGTCGCGAAAACGAAAACGAAATTTATTTATTAAATAAATTGCATAAATAATATCCTATATTTAAAATTAAAATAATATTTCAAAAATATAATAGAAGAAAGTTCGGACAAATTAAAAATAACTGTATTCATGCGAGACTTGAACCACCTTAATCAGCAACACTGTTTTTACTACTATATACCTACACGCTGCCACACCGGACATAAAAGAATTAACAATGGCACTTTGCTCGAGACAAATGACAGCAATTATGCGGAGTTTGCAATTTTGCGTCGTAATAATAACGTTTTCCGGACCGAAATAATTTTCGCGGCGAAACGATCAATATAATATTATAGTAGTGCGCGTTGATCCGTTTGGTATAGGTACACTAAATTACATAAACAGTCTAAAAAATATTCTCCTATTTATGTGCATACAACAACACAACATCGAACAAAAATTGTATAACAGTTACACATATATTGTGTGTGTACGATTCATTTTACCAGGAGCTCGTCATTATAGACTACACTTGATAATATAATATAACATTACAGTAAATTATTATTCAGTCTCTTACCTCTTGCAAGACACCGGAAGTAGATACTCGTTCGAAGCGGATTCGCACGGAGGATCTAGATCTTCGCATTCCACCACCCTGATCACCGGCAACATTTAAAATCACTGTAAAACCAACACACTGTGCTGAAGACAACTGAACGTCAGTTTATTTTTATTTTCATCTACGCGTACATACACACACACACACACACAAACTCACTGATACACGGAGTAGCGAAATACATTTCATTCGTTTAAATGTGAAAATACACACAAACCGTCGCAGCGAACAATAACGAACGAATGAAGACGGGCAAACGAAAAAAAAAACAAATAATAATAATAATAAAGCATAATAAACTGTTAAACAGTCTACGGACGCACATGCTAACTAATCTCAAATGCACAACACGGACCGTTATGATTAGAAAGCGTGTACCGAGAACAATATTCATTGAAGCCTGCGACTCCTTAAACACATAGTAGTCGCCCACACATTTACTGTACATGTAATATATACACACGTGAATCGAAACCACATCGTGTCATTTGAATTCAAATAGCGAAGCGATTGTCTGAATAGTCCTATGACGACGATGTGCACTCGTCAGTCGGTCACAAACGCTTTTATCCAGGTAAATAAAAAATAACTGTACACCGCCTATGGTCACGGGAGATCAATAGAGCTCGATCAGTATTCTGAGAGGACTTTTTTTCGGGAGTTTCCCAAAGGCTTTTTAGAAAATTGCGTGTAAACCGCGCGATGTGTTTACCCGCGGAACCCGAGTGCGGTCAAGCAAACGCTTTACATTCGCTAACAATATTTTCACCGAATTCTATAAAGAATTTCGTTTTTATTCCGGTTCCTAAATCAGAATTCTACTTCAATTTCTATGTACGGTTGATCGAAATTTCAATCGCGTAACTATAACTGATAGATAAAAATTTTTATTTTTATTGGTTCATATTTTAATTTTTGTATATATTTTGTAACGGATGTTTCATTGTAATAGATAAGTTTAGCTAGATTTCAAAGTTGAAGATGACTAAATTATACTCCCACGGTATTGTACTGTTTTGTTGTATGAAAACATGTAAACGAGTATACGATTTAGAAACGTGCACTATACAAAGAGCAATAATAAATACATGCAGTTTTCTCAAAAG